GTGTTGCTGCGGTGAAGAGTGTTGCAGGATGTTGGTCTCTTAGCCCCCTGAGCCATCCTGCCCTACAGATGCAGGATAGGGGAGAGACTTCCCTATTGCTGCTCCGCTTCCCCTGAAGAGCATCTCGCACTTGCAGGAGCATAATTTTGTCCTGAGGAAGGAATGAGCTGCCGTCCGAACATATGCTACAGAAAGCCAAGACCAATGCTGGCAGGTAACAATGGAAAAGAATCAGAGTCACTTTCTTCTAACACTGAACAAGGAACTTTGTTAGAATAAGGGTAACAATGTTCTCCCTATGGCCCCTCTCTCTTTCTCTGCTTCACCACAGAGGTTCTACCTCTCTTGTTTTGCACTGAAAATACCCATCAGAGATGGAAGTTATGCTGCTTTTTGACAGAGTCTCAGGTGTTAAGATCAGATGAGACCATTATGATCATCTAGTCTGACCCAGGCCAGAGAACCTCACCCAGTAATTTGTGCATCAAGCCCATAGCTGCTTGTTGAACTCCAGTATGCCTTTTAGAAAGACGTTGCCTGCCAATTTGCCGCTTCAGAACCCAACCCCCTAAAATGAGGCTATTATTATAGGTTAACACAAGAACTTGGAGAACACCTGTAACCAAATAACACACACTTAGGAAATCAGAGCTGACATGTCTGTATCTGGAACTTTAACTCGGCATGATATTTGCCTATCTGAGTAATGCCAGGTCCAGCTTTGCTCACACTGCCATCAGTGGGCGTTTTGCCAATACAATAGACCATACAGAATGATATCAGTTGGAGCAGAATCACGTCCTTCGAGACAAAACTGCTTTTATTCCCCGTCCCCCTAAGTGCAGGATTCTTGGAGGGGCTTTCCCCTAACAATGCTCACTGAACTGGAGCTGCCTGCTTACCTGAGTCCTGCTCCTACATACACACGGGAGTAACTTCACTCATAGAAGCAGCCGTATTGACTTCAAGGAGAGCTCTTCCCTGCATCACATTACTCACATGTGTGAATGCTGGCAGGATCAGCCCCTTACAAGGCTCCCATCTTTCTGGAACTGTATCCATTGCTATTTCATCAGAGGGTTATATGTGCTGGTTGGCATTTTCAAAAGAACCCAAGGGAGTTAGGCACCCAGCTCCCATTGAAAGTCAATGAGTGTTGACTCCCATTTGTGCCTTTGAAAATCTCCCCCATGGCCCAGGACAATAGTGAAATCAGCGTTATCACTGTCCTACAGTGTTTGCCTTTTGTTACTGCTACTCTGTGCCTCTTCTCCAGGCCTCCATACATTATACATGGATATAATGGATGTGCAGAGATAGGTTACAAATGTGTAATTCAATCGAGAGGTTAGGGTACAATCATGACCCATGAGATCAAAGCACTCAGAGCAATTATCAGCATGCTGAGATTCAATTACAGATTCAGGTACCAACCTCTCTCCTCCCTGCCACAGGTTAATGCTTTTACAGCATTATTCTAACAGAAGACTCTCCTCCACTCCCTTTGCACAGAACTCTTAGTATATTAGCAGGAGTGGTGTTCTTCAATCGCAGAGATTGGGATGTTCACACTACATCAAAGAGAGTATGTAAAGAACAAGGGTGGTTTGAGATGAGGGGCCAGATCCAAGTCCCAGCTGCCTTGTGCTGTTCAAGCAGCTGGAAAGCACGTGGCTCCAGATCCCTGAGGATGCTCCCTGTTTGGAGAAATCTTTGGGTGGCTTAGAGGCACCTTCCTGCTCTTATACATTCCTTCTCAGCCCCCACACAAGGGGAAGTGGCCAGGCCAATGGCGGCATGGCTAGGCTATCCCTTCACCCCAGCTGCTTCCCGGCTGCTGGAATGGCCTGATCTCCAAAAAGATACGTTAGAACTGGAAAAGGTACAGGGAAGGGCAACAGAAATGACTAGGGGTGTGGAACAGCTTCCATATGAGGAGAGATTAATAAGACTGGTACTTTTCAGCTTGGAAAAGAGATGACTAAGGGGTGATATGACAGGATCTATACAATCATGACTGGTGTGGAGAAAGTAAATAAGGAAGTGCTATTTACTCCTTCTCATAACACAAGAACTAGGGGTCACCCAATGAAATTAATAGGCAGCAGGTTTAAAACAAACAAAAGGAAGTATTTCTTCACACAATGCACAGTCAACCTGTGAAACTCATTGCCAGGGGATGTTGTGAAAGCCAAGACTATAACAGGATTCAAAAAAGAACTAGATAAGTTCATGGAGGATAGGTCTATCAATGGCTATTAGCCAAGATGGTCAGGGACACAACCCCATGCTTTAGATGTCCCTAAACCTCTGACTGTCAGCTCCTAGGACTAGAGAACAGGATGGATCACTCAATGATTGCCTGTTCTGTTCATTCCCTTTGAAGCATCCGGCACCGGCCACTGTCGGAAGATAGGATACTGGGCTAGATGGACCACTGGTCTGACCCAGTAGGGCCATTCTTATGTTCTTACTGTAGCCTGGAGACTGTTCTAATTTATGCTGAGACCTGGATTGCCCCCCTCTGGCTGTGCCCCTTACCAGCTCCAGGAGTGAAGGAGTGTAAATGATGGCTTAATTCTCCCTTCCTTCCTCCCAACCACCAGATCTTTCATTCATATTCCAGTCTGGAACCACTAATAGCACTAGAGAAAATACGCTAGAAGGGTGAGCAGTGCATTAGACATCAGGATTAGAAATCATATGACAAGGCCAGGGCCTCAGCCATCCCAGCAGGGGGCACGCTAGGGAGTAGGCCATTCACTGTAACTCTAGTCCCAAATTCTCAGCCTGAAGGAGCCATAGGTGCTGGAACGAAGGGTGCGGGGGGTGCTGCAGCACCCCATGACTTGAAGTGGTTTCCATTATATCCAGGGTTTACTGTTTGGTTCAATGGCTCTCAGCACCCCCACTATACACATTATTACAGCACCCCTGGAAGGAGCTGCTCTAGGGAATAGCATAGGAAAGCTGGCTGCAGCTGGCACCCAAACCACCTCGTGCCACAGTCTGCCAGTTCAGACATGATGGTAAGGGATGGTGCCTGAGGGCTGGCTGAGAAGGCTTTATAAATACACAAGAAATAAATGGCACAGAGTGGAACAAAGACAGTGCCAGCAAAGAGGAAACAGGAGGGAAGAGGGTGCCAAAGGTACTGAAAAGAACATGTAATTCTAGCACAGGAGGCTGGTGAACAATCCTGTCAGTACACACAGACACATATGTCCTGCGGGTCTAATTACAGCAAGGCCAGAGAGCAGGGCACAACAGCCACACAGCAGCTACCTGCCAATGCACAGCTCTGCAGCCTGTCGCTGAGCTACCTGGACTGCTGCTTGGGAAGCTCTCTTCACTCCACCCTACATTTACAGAGTACATGCTGGTAGCTGCTGGCCCAGACATTCCAGTCACATGCAGGTCCACAGCATTAGACAAGACCTAGATATTGTTATTATTTATTATTATTGCTGGTGCTTCCAAGTAGTACAGGATGGGGTAAATGGAGACATGCTCTCAAACCTACAAGCAAAATCACCACAGATGTGTGTGTGGCACCAGTGGTTGGCACTTCCCATGCCCAGACTTTGTGATCTTTAGTAACAATGCAGCGATGGGGCGGGGGTGCCATCACCCATTTCTCCCCACATCTCCAGATGGAACTTAAACACTCCATGGCTCTGTTTGGAAAGATTAGCTGGTACCAGGGCCAGCTCTAGGCACCAGCCCTAGGCACCAGCCCTCCAAGTATGTGCTTGGGGTGGCACTTTCTAAGGGGCGGCACTCCACCCCCCCCCTTTTTTATTTTTAATTTTAATTTTTTTGCTTCGGGCGGCATTGCCGGGAGCCTGCCCTGGCCCAGCCACTCGCCCTGTCAGCGCACGAGCTGGGATCCGCGCCCCCTGCCCAGCCCGGCGGTGCCCTGCACAGCCCACTCAGGGAAACACCACGCCGCCCTGGGGAGACTTGGAGCGGCAGCGGCAGCAGGACCCCTCCTCCCTCCCTGCATCCCAGGCCCCGCTTCCCTCCCTCCCCGGCTCCTCACTCACTCCAGGAGCTCCTCTCACTGCCGCCGCCACAGCCCGGGCTGTGGCGGCGGCGAGAGGGGCTCCTAGAGTCAGGGCCACCCAGAAGGGGGGGGGGGCAAGTGGGGCAATTTGCCCTGGGCCCCTCAGGGGCCCCCACAAGTATGTCGGAAGCTCCCCCCACCTCCGTCTTCCCCCATCCCCTGGCATCTCAGCTGCGAGCTGCGGCTGAGCGGCGGGAACTCAGGCCCCGCTGGAGACACCACGCCGCTGCAGCGCTGTCCGGGAGAGGGGGTAAGCGGCATGGTAAGGGGCCGAGGCCGGGCACCCCCCCGACCTCATCCCCCACAGCCCTGACCCCCCGCCCCGCGCCCAGCCCCTCTGGGCTGGGGACCCCCCCCCCCCATCACCCCCCCAGCCCTGACCCCCAGCTCCGAGCCCAGCCTCTCTGAGCCGGACACCCTCTGACCCCATAGCCCTGAGCCCAGCCCCTGTGAGCCGGGCACTCCCCAACCCAGAGCCCAGCTCCCCACCCAGCCCTGGGCAACAGCAGCACCACCCCCAGGCAGCGACAGCCCATTGGCACCAACCATCACCATCACCCAGCAACAGCCCATTATGTAATTGCAAATGTATACATACAATTAAAGCATTTAATGTTTTTAAATAATGTATTTAGTGTATTTTCAAATTATTACAAATTAATTTTTGAATGTATTTCACTAGTTATTTTTTACATTTCCAAATATATGTTACTATAGTATTGCAACTTTTTTTTATGGAAGGGGCCCCCGAAATTGCTTTGCCCCAGGCCCCCTGAATCCTCTGGGCAGCCCTGCCCAGAGTGTGTGAGGAGCCGGGGAGGGAGGGAAGACGGGTCCCCTGTAGCTGAGCCCGGGCTGCGGCGGTGGCGAGAGGGGCTCCTGGAGTGTGTGAGGAGCCGGGGAGGGAGGGAAGTGGGGTCCCCTGGAGCTGAGCCCGGGCTGCGGCGGCGGCAAGAGGGGCTCCCGGAGCGTGTGAGGAGGTGAGCGGCCGGCTGGGCTCGTCAGTGCTGAGCAGGTAGCCCCACAGCCGGAGATCCTCGCCTTCCCGCCCGCCGGGGCTGGGCCAGGGCATGGTGAGGCTGAAGAGGAGCAGGTCCAGGGGGCTCTCCAGGTCCTCGGCCGCCAGCATGTCGGGGGTGAGGGCGGTGAGCACGAACTGATCCACCTCGGCCACCAGCAGTGCCGCAAAGCCCAGGGAGGGGGCTGTGTTCTCCGCGCCGCCCCGCAGCCGCACCGCCACCTGGAAGTACTCCCGCTCCACGCTGCCCAGCAGCTCCACCCGCATGGGGACAGAGTCGCGGCTGGGCCAGGGCTCGGCCGCCGTGTGCTGGTAGCGGATCCCACGTTTGTGGGGGAGCCCAGTGCTGGGGCGGCAGGGGGTGTGGGTGGGGGGAGGAGAGAGAGCCCAGTGCTGGGGCGGCAGGGGGTGTGGGGGGGCACTGGTGGGCGGGGGGGGAGAGCTCAGGGCTGGGGGGTGGGCAGCCAAAAAATTTTTTGCTTGGGGCAGCAAAAAACCTAGAGCTGGCCCTGGCTGGTACCCCAATCTCCAACTCCTTGGGCCTCATCCTGTTGTCCTTACTCAGTTGGGAGCTTGGCCAAGGAAGGATGGCCCAATATTTACACTGGTGTGCTGTCCAATACTTTTTGGGACAGTGACAGCAACAGTGATACCAGTAACTATCCATTTACACTGAGGAGTGAGACAGTCAGAGTCCCCTCCAGGATCCTGCACAGCTCAACTGGTCCATGATTCCAGCACAGCAAACACACTGTGAATAAAAATATGTTCCACGAAATGCTAGTGGTATGATCAGAAGGGCTGACGGGGAACCACAGCCAACATTTTGAAACTTATGTTCCTAAAGGCTGGCACCTAAACAAATGACTTGATTTTCAAAGATGCTGAGCACCTGCCTTAAGGAGCTTGGCTTGTTTAGCCTGTCTAAAGGAAGGCTGAGGCAAGATATGATTGCTCTATATAAGTACATCAGAGGGATAAACACCAGAGGAGTTATTTAAGTTAAGGGCAATTGTGATGGGTTGGATCACAGAAACCCCCTTGGGAGCTGCCACCCAATGTACCAAGACTACCCCTGCTCCTGTTTTCCCTGCCAGCTCAGGACTCCAGCACCCTGTCTTGCTGAGCCAGACACTCCCGTCTGGCTCCAGACACAGACCCAGGGTCTGAATCACTTGTCCCAAAACTGCAAGTTTACCTGAAAACAGCTCACAGGAGTGTGCTTGTCTTTAGCACTCAGATGCCCAACTCCCAATGGGGTCTAAACCCAGATAAATCCGTTTTACCCTGCATAAAGTTTATGCAGGGCAAACTCATAAATTGTTCGCCCTCTATAACACTGATAGAGAGATATGCACAGTTGTTTGCTCCCCCAGGTATTAATACATACTCTGAGTAAATTACTAAATAAAAAGTGATTTTATTAAATACAGACAGTAGGATTTAAGTGGTTCCAAGTAGTAACAGACAGAACAAAGTAAGTCACCAAGCAAAATAAAATAAAATGCGCAAATCTATGTCTAATCAAACTAAATACAGATAATCTCACCCTCAGAGATGCTTCAGTAAGTTTTTCTCAGACTGGACACCTTCCAGGCCTGGGCACAATTCTTTCCTCTGGTACAGCTCTTGTTCCAGCTCAGGTGGTAGCTAGGGGATTCTTCATGATGGCTCCTCTCTCCCTCTGTTCTCTTCCACCCCTTTATATATCTTTTGCATAAGGCGGGAACCCTTTGTCCCTCTGGGTTTCCACCCCCCCTCACTGGAAAAGCACCAGGTTAAAGATGGATTCCAGTTCAGGTGACATGATCACATGTCACTGCAAGACTTCATTGCCCACTTGCCAGCACACACATATACAGGAAGACTAACAGGTAAACACAACCATCTGCAGACAATGGTTCTGGTTAATGGGAGTCATCAAGATTCCAAACCATCATTAATGGCCCACACTTTACATAATTACAATAGGCCCTCAGAGTTACATTTTAAATTTCTAGTTTTAGATACAAGAGTGGTACATTTATACAAATCAGATGATCATACTCAGTAGATTATAAGCTTTGTAATGATACCTTACAAGAGACCTTTTGCATGAAGCATATCCCAGTTACATTATATTCACTTATTACCATATTCTCTCTAAAACTATCCCAGTTACATTATATTGACTTATTATCAAGTTGTTATAAAACCATATAGACTGCACAACGTCACAGCAATGTTGGCACAAGATGAGAGGGTTACTCAGCCTGTGCAGTAACTGAGGTTCTTCGAGCTGTGTCCCTGTGGGTGCTTCACTGTAGGAGCGGCAGTGCCCCCTGCACCTGGGATCAGAGATCTTCATCAATAGCGCCCGTCGGACAGAACATAGAGTCATAGAATATTAGGGTTGGAAGAGACCTCAGGAGGTCATCCAGTCCAACACCCTGCTCAAAGCAGGACCAACACAAACTAAATCATCCCAGCCAGGGCTTTGTCAAGCCGGGCCTTAAAAACCTCTAAGGATGGAGATTCCATCACCTCCCTAGGTAACACATTCCAGTGCTTAACCACCCTCCTAGTGAAATAGTGTTTCCTAATATCCAACCTAGACCTCCCACACTGCAACTTGAGACCATTGCTTCTTGTTCTGTCATCTGCCACCACTGAGAACAGCCGAGCTCCATCCACTTTGGAACCCCCCTTCAGGTAGGATCATAGATTATTAGGGTTGGAAGGGACCTCAGGAGATCATCTAGTCCAACCCCCTGCTCAAAGCAGGATCAATCTCCAACTAAATCCCCAAATGGCCCCCTCAAGGATTGAACTCACAACCCTGGGTTTAGCAGGCCAATGCTCAAACCACTGAGCTATCCCTCCCCCCCAGGTAGTTGAAGGCTGCTATCAAATCCCCTCTTACTCTTCTCTTCTGCAGACTAAGCAAGCCCAATTCCCTCAGCCTCTCCTCATAAGTTATGTGTCCCAGTCCCCTGATCATTTTCGTTGCCCTCTGCTGGACTCTCTCCCATTTGTCCACATCCTTTCTGTAGTGGGGGTCCCAAAACTGGACGCAATACTCCAGATGTGGCCTCACCAGTGCCAAATAGAGGGGAATAATCACTTCCCTCGATCTGCTGGCAATGCTCCTACTAATGCAGCCCAATATGCCATTAGCCTTCTTGGCAGCAAGGGCACACTGCTGACTCATATCCACCTTCTCATCCATTGTAATCCCCAGGTCCTTTTCTGCAGAACTACTGCTTAGCCAGTCAGTCCCCAGCTTGTAGCGGTGCATGGGATTCTTCCGTCCTAAGTGCAGGACTCTGCACTTGTCCTTGTTGAACCTCATCAGATTTCTTTTGGCCCAATCCTCCAATTTGTCTAGGTCACTCTGGACCCTATCTCTACACTCCAGCTTATCTACCTCTCCTCCCAGCTTAGTGTCATCTGCGAACTTGCTGAGGGTGCAATCCATCCCATCACCTAGATCATTAATAAAGACATTGAACAAAACTGGCACCAGGACCAACCCCTGGGGCACTCCACTTGATACCGGCTGCCAACTAGACATTGAACTGTTGATCACTACCCGTTGAGCCCGACAATCTAGACAGCTTTCTATCCACCTTATAGTCCATTCATGCAATCCATACTTTTTTAGCTTGCTGGCAAGAATACTGTGGGAAACTGTATCAAAAGCTTTGCTAAAGTCAAGATATATCATGTCCACTGCTTTCTCCATATCCACAGAGCCGGTTATCTCATTATAGAAGGCAATCAGGTTGGTCAGGCATGACTTGCCCATGGTGAATCCATGTTTACTATTCCTGATCACCTTCCACTCCTCCAAGTGCTTCAAAATGGTTTCCTTGAGGACCTGCTCCATGATTTTTCCAGGGAGTAAGGTGAGGCTGACCGGTCTGTAGTGCCCTGGGTTCTCCTTCTTCCCCTTTTAAAATATGGGCACTATATTTGCCTTTTTCCAATCATCTGGGACCTCCCCTGATCACCACAAGTTTTCAAAGATAATGACCAATGGCTCTGTAATCACATCAGCCAATTTCCTCAGCACCCTCGGATGCATTAGATCTGGACCCATGGACTTGTGCATGTCCAGTTTTTCTAAATAGTCCTTAACCTGTTCTTTCACTACTGAGGGCTGCTCACCTCCTTCCCATACTGTGTTGCCCAGGACAGCAATGTGGGAGCTGACCTTGTCTGTGAAGACTGAGGCAAAAAAAGCATTGAGTACTTCAGCTTTTTCCACATCATCTGTCACTAGGTTGCCTCCCCCATTCAATAAGGGTCCCACACTTTCCCTGACCTTCTCGACTTGATGGGAGATGCACCAGGATTGGAATCTAATCCATTTGTGGAGGTAAGTGCATCTAGTCATGTCGCCTCTGCTATTCAAGAGTACTTGTTTAATTGCTTCTGAACAGGTTATTTCTGAATCCAAGAACCATGAAGTAGTCATGCTTTCAGGTGGAGCACTTGTGGATTGGGATGAAGGATGCGATCCATGTCCTGTGAAAGGAGTCACGGAGTCGAATGGAGAGAGATCAGAGGGCATACCTTCATGCGAATGAGGTAAGTCTACCAGATCTGTCATGGCCATGTCAGAGCTATAAGGATGACATGGGCTCAATCCCCTTGTATCTTGTGGAGTACTCAGAACAGAAATGGGAAGGGAGGAAAGACATAGAGTAGCGGCGCATCCCATGTGATGAGGAATGCATCTCCTAGGGATCCATGTCCCAGTCCCACTCTCGAGCAGAATTGAGGGCAACAGGTGTTCTCTGGTGTGGCAAAGATGTCTATGGTGGGGAATCCCCAGCAGTTGAAGATGTAGTGAAGGGCTCGCGTATCTAGTTCCCACTCATGATCGTGGGAAAATCTCCTGCTCAAGGAGTTTGCAGTGGTGTTCTGGTGTCCAGGGAAGTATGTAGCTGAGATGGTGATGCCATGTTGGATACATCAGTTCCATAATTTCAGTGCCTCTGAGCATAGAGAGTGGGACCTCGCTCTGGCCTGCCTGTTGACGTAGAACATGCAGGCGATATTGTCCGTCATGACTCTGGTGCAATGTGCGATCAGTGGGAGAAAGTGTCGGCAGGCATTGCAGACTGCTCGTAGCTCTAGGAGGTTGATGTGCAGAATGGATTTGGTTAAGGACCATATGCCCTGCACTGTATGAGTGTGAAGGTGCACTCCCAAACCAATTTAGGAGGCATTGGTTGTTAGAATCATAGACGGTGCTGGCTGAAGGAAAGGAACCCTGACACAGATGTTCGGGGGCTGTGCCCACCAGAGTAGTGAGTCCTTGACTGTCATAGGCATGGATAGGAGTTTGTGCATGCTGTG